TCAAAAAAAAAAAAAGAAAGAAAGAAAAAGAAAATAACATGCAGTTCTACATAGTTTACAGTAGAACGTTTTCTACATATCTGTATCTGAATTCTGTCCATGGTTCAAAAGCACACAATTTGAGAGTTTTCCTGCAATACAATTGCCAGTAGTTTGGCAGTGGTTAACAGACTGACTGGATCTGGTGGGGTCAAAATCATGATGGCAGATAATCAATATGAGAGAATTTTTTTTCCAATCTATTTGCTGAATGCTTTGTTTTCCCTTAGTTTTTCACATTTTTTAGAACTCTTAACTCAAACTCTTTGACCTTGGCTCTCTTTGTCTTCTCTGTAATAAGTGCCCTCACTCTGTGACTTTATTTGTAGTGACCTGTGCAGTGGTCCAGAAGAGTGCATATGGCTTTCACACAGCCAGCTCATGTTTTTGGGATACTACATCTGATGGTAAGAGAGCTTAAGCTGATTCAAACAAACTCTAACTCTTAGCAAAGCCAAACAATGTACTTTTAATCAAAGGCTTGCTTAACTTTAATTAAATTCTAAAAAAAAAAAAAAACTTATCAAAAGAATTGTGTTGTATCTAGTAACAAGCATACCCTCAGGCCACTATGAAATGGAGATTTCTTTAGTGGAGATTTAAACAAGTTGAAGGAAATAAGATGTTAAAGACCTTTGAAAGATGCCTGCATATATTCTGGCAATTGTGATGTTTTGCTGGTATTTCAAAGTCCTTTTTTTGTGTGTGTTTTCAGGAACCTGTACCGTAAGATGGGAGAACCGGACCATGAACTGTATTGTCAATGTTTTTGCCATTTCAATTGTTCTGTAACTGACTAAAAATGGTGGGCTAAAGCCATTAAGTTAAGAATTTGTCAGTGTACCCTTTCAAAAAAGAGTAGTAGTTACTTATTAATGTGCTAGGTGACAAGTGTGCAATATGCTTCAAAGCTTTCAGCAAAAGCTGAATATTTCAAACGAGCAATTTCATAGTACATTGGCAGATTATCTCGTATTCTATACGGTATCATTTAAATAGGAAAAGTTGAATGTCAGCGAACATAAATGCAGCAATTTGGCATGACATGAAAATACAATCATATTTATACCAGCTTTTCACTAACATGTACCTAAAGCTATGGGGAAATCCATACAGATAATAAGAGTCTCTTTCAGCTAGAGAAATTAATAGGGATAAATATATGGATGAAAAAACACTGCAAGGATAAATATGGAGAGAATGATAAGAATTAACTAACATCTTTTAGTTTTTTTTTTATTTCTTCTCACTTAGTTGTGCTTAATATTCAGTGGAAAGTAATTTCATTCTTTTATCAACTAGTAGCGAAATAGGTTCATTTTTTCTGAGCATTGGTCAAATTTTTTCTTAATTTTAAATTTCTGGAGTTACACTTGAGGATGAATTAAATCTGGTGACCCAAATTTCCTAGTTAAACCAAATTAGTTCCAGTGTGTGATGAACACTGTGTGAGTCAAACAGCTGCCTTAACAATTCACTCATCCTTGTAGAACAAACATTTACTGAATGCCTCTTATGAGCATATTTCTCGGCTAAGCATTACAGTTATCAGTGTGCTATTCAAATGCTAAGTTCCTTTTAGCAACTGTTCAGTGGAAAACTAGCAATTATATTTGGGAGAAGAAAAAAAGACTTGTTTTACAAGATTGGAAAGAAGTGAATCTGGTTATAAATGTAAAAGTAAGCATAATGAAAAGCACTTACTGCTGGCGGAATTACTGTTTTGATAGTTGCTCCTAGCAAGTTGAAAAATGCATAAAATATGCAACTCTTAGTTAAAGGCCTTATAACCAGTCTTAACTATAAAAAATAGTACATTTTATCATTGCTTTAGTTATAACCGTTTGTAAATAATTTTAAGTACTTTGTGAGGTTCAAGTTGAATGGAACAAAGTATAAATTAAAAGTACACAATCATTAGTAGGTTATCTAATATCTCAGGGCTTGTGAAATATAATTAAATTTATTAAGAACATACAAGATGAAATATTAGGGTACACAGCTGGCCACCAAATTCAAAGTCAATCTGCTATTTAACCTTGAAAACAAAATCAATTTTGCATATTACCACTATCACTAATAGATATAGAGGGCAGAATCATGATTGAATTCAGGGGGAGTAAAAAGATTAACATTAGTGCTGACGGTATTAAGGCAGTATTCTTGTAGGCGTACAATGTGCATGTTTGATACTTGATGAATAATGATCATTGTTCAATGTTTTAAAAGGACATTAAGAAAATAAAGGACAGAGTTTAATGAAGTGATCTACATTTTTGGCACATCAAAAATTCATTACCTTTGTGTTACTTTATGCTGCTGGCTTTTGTGCCCTTGAATATTATAACAGTGACCAAACTATCTGTGCTGTAAAGACTTATTTTTGATTATTGCTGTGAAGCCAGATTTTAGAAAAAGATAATCAAATCATACCTTGTGAACTTGCTATCTGCTCTGTTTCTAGTTAAAAATATAATAAATATGATCTTCCTGTGCTGTACTTTTGCTTCTGGTTAATCATTCAATTGTTAAAACAATGGCATTCTGCTTAATCTTAGAAATTCACAATAGGTGGAATGGGGAAGAGAAATGAATATGGGACCACGTAGATATATTGTGCAGGATAAATACCATTCAAATGGCAACCAAAATTCAGTATTTACCCTTACAACATAATTAATGTCTTCTATTTTATGCCTTTTATGATTTTAACATGGAATTGTATCTTAAAAAGTCAGTGTAAAAATACGTTCTATAACTATTTATTAAATTTTAATGATTATTTTTGGCAAGGAATTTTACCCTGTTTGTCAACTTGCAATTCAGTTGTTGCTGTTATTTTTTTTTTAATTAAGGACTTTAAGTGTGTAACATTAGAGTATTCAAATGTAAGTACTAACTTAGATTTTTGCAAAGTTGTAATTTTGTGTTTGTAAAATACTAGTATGCTGCCTAAATGATGGCAACATCTCATTACAGTTTCTCTAGTAAAAAGTACTTTTCTGTTCTCTCCATGCAGAGTATTATCTAATTATGAGTCATTGAATGCATTTTCACCACCTACATTCACCATCAAGTTTCTTTTTTTTTTTTTTTTTTTTTTTTTTGCAGTTTTTGGCCAGGGCTGGGTTTGAACCCTGCATCTCTGGCATATGGGGCCAGCGCTCTACTCCTTTGAGCCACAGGCACCACCCTCACCATCAAGTTTTAAAATTAATTCTAGGATGTTTAGGATTATATTTTCAAAGTTTGAGTAAAAATAGTTATCTATTCTTGATAAGAGTTTACTGAAAGTGGGAGGAAAAAAATGTGTGACTTTTTATGGCAAAGGAAGTCTTTGTTATAGCAGGTGCCAAAGCAAAATTGGGGAGGTGAATTAAAAATGAATTGCTGGGATCTACCCAAGGGGAACTTGTTTTATAATCCAAAGGTGGAGCTATATTTGTGACTAAAGAGGATTATACGTCTAGTGTTGAGTAATTCTGTAAAGTTGACTTTTGCATATTAATGAAAGTCTTTATAAAAGGATCTTAAACATTCATGTCTTACATGATTTAGCTGATCATCCTCAATATGCATTAACTTCAGTGCTGCAGGAGATTCTACCTGTACTTTTCACTGTGGCCCCACTGAATGTCAGTGTCATTCTTGGATATATAGGCTATATCAACAATTTGAGTCTCGATAGAAATGCCCCTAGTTGCTTCATGACATGTGTCTCTTCCACAGTGTTTCTGAGAGCCTCAAGGTTAAAGGCAGAACTTTGTCCAGACACTTGTAGGACCATTGGTGTGATATATATCCTCCCCATAGGAGACAAAACATGGTATGGTATATATCTTCCCCACAGGGGACAAAACATAAGCAACCGCTTTTTATGGCTCCTCCTAACCAAGTCAGGAAACTTGATACCTGGCCTTATCCAGTAATAAATATTGAACTTTCTTTATGGAAAAATGCATAGTTTTTTATTTTATTGATGCCTCATATTTTTAGATACATTTTCATGGATGCCATTGTCTTAGTATATTAGCGCTACTATAAAAAAAAAAAGACCATAAACTGGGTGGCTTATTATAATCATTAATTCTCATAGTTCTGGAGATTGGGAAGTCCAAGATCAATGTGCTGACAGATTCATGTGTGGTGAGAACCTGCTTCTTGATTTGTAGATGGCTCCTTCTAGTTGTGTCCTAACATAATGGAAGGAGCAAGGCGGCTCTCTGGAGTCTCTTTTTAGGGGCACTAATCCTATTCATGAGGGTTCCACACTTGTAACCTAATCAGCTCCAAAAGGTGCCATCTCCCTAATACCCATCACATTGGTAAGAATTTGGGTGGGACACAAACATTCAGACTTCAAACAATAGCAACCAGCTTTTCCCTTGTGATATTTCAATCTAAATTTCTTAGGGCAGAGTTTTACATGAGGCAGTGGTATAACTTAATGAAAATTCTGTTATCTTATGTTCATCCCCTATTAATGACTTATGAAGAAAATCTCCATGAAAATTATTAGATTGTGGCATGTGCTGACCTTTCAATAACCTTTAATTTTGTAGGCTAGGAATTTGATGTAGGTTAAGTTGCATGAGCCAACATGACTTTTGCAGTTAATGCTCATGCAGAATGCCACCAAAAATGATCAGGTTTGGAATAATGGATTCTTATTAATTAAATTAAACAAAGCAACCTTTTCCTGCAAAGGGCCAGATAGTAAATATTTGCGACTTTGTAGGCCTTTCAACTACTCAAGTGTGCTGTTGTGAAAACAGCTGTAGACAAGTAAATGGATGAGCATGACTGTGTTCCAATAAAACTTGGTTTTCAAAAATGGGTAGGGGGTTAGTCAGAGTTTAGCAGCCTCTACATTACAGTAAGAAATATACATGGTCTAGTTGCTTAAAAAATTATACCTTAATGATATGAGACTTTTTTTTTTACTATTATAAACAATGGAACACAAAGCGCTTTCATCATCTTGGACTCAGAGGGGCCTTATTAGTAAACTAAACTTGTGCTCTCTTTACTACAAGAAGGAAGAGCTATAAATCAACTTTTTCAAAACTAGATTACTCCTTATTACTCCTTTTTACTCCTTTTTGATGTATATCACCTAATATTTTGCCAGTTTACAGATAATTTTTATATTTTCTTAACTTAGAGTTCATCTTATGGCCATACTTTTTCTTTTAAGACAATCATTTGCAGGCATAATGGGGACTGAAGACCCCATTCTTGGCAAGGGAAAATACCCCCAGAAAAAGGGAAAAATTAAAAAGCTTAGTGAGTCAGAACAAAAGAAAGTCAGCTACTTTACCTTTAAATCAGCTGCTGCCAAATTTCTCATCTGAGCAAGTTTCCTGCTTTTCCTAGAACTCTGGCCTATTGGGGATATAGCTTACCAACATCCCTGCTGGGTCTGTAAGTACTCTGAAAAAAATAAGGGCGACAGAAGCTGCTGTGGCAAGGCCTGGAAAGATACATTAACTAGGCCATTTCCTGCCTGGTAAACAAAGCAAATACCCATTGTGAAGATCTGTATTTGCCTGGGGCAGAGATCAAGGGAACAGCTCAAGCCCTGAAATATGGGTAGGAGGGATTATATCCCTTATCGCAGAGGAAGACCCACTGTGATGGTGATGAGAGGAAAAATCTTCTCTCCCACCAATTCTTCAAAGGAGATTGACACCAGTGGCATTTCACTCCACAGTGAACTAGTGAACATTAACACCTCCCTAGGAATCTGTGTGTGTAACCACAGACAGGAGGCTGCCCACACACAGGTTCTGGATTTCTCAAGACCGCTCAGATCCTTAAGGTTAATGATTATAGAAACTATAGGAGCTGATATGCTTGCTCAGAGAAACTGCTGGTGTCTTTGTTCTCTTCCTCAGCTTTCTTATCCTTTGGGTTAATGAGAAAATAGCTTTCAATAAAAGCTGAGTGTAACTGACACTTGGGGCCACCATCAGAACCCCACAAGTGGACTGTGGTCCCCTGGTTTCCCACCTTTG